ATAACTTTGTATCTAGTCATACGAACCAGCAAGGACAGCCCCGCCCCCGCGCAATTGTAATGACACTATCGGGTAAGGCCATGTTGATTTGATTATATGGATGACATCCGCGCGCGCATGAATTTTCAGCCGTTTCCAAAAAAAAAATAGTTTTCAACCATACTGTAAATTGTACAAAACAGTAGCAAAATGAGCAAATATATACCGTAAGTTGCAGAAAGGAAAACGATACCAATGTCGTAGAATGCCAAAATCAAACGAAAAAGACGAAAATGTAAAGGCATGAACTTGAAGAGTAGATTATTCGCCATACTCTGTCATTTGTTCAACCTTCATGACCGCGTAGATTTCATAATAAAAGCAACTTTTTTTTGCAAAACTTTTTTTATTCGCACGCTCGCATCAGTTTTGGGGTTCCCATAGGATGTCATCCATATAATCAAATCAACATGGCCTAACTCCACAAGGTTGTCTTGACTCGGCTACAACTGCTGATGTACATGTAGACGGTGAAGACATCTCCATTATTCGGGACTCGTTGTCCTATGCATAGCCAGCCGGACGAGGGTCGTAGGTTAGGTCGCCTGCACGGGGGAAGTCTGAAGGGAACAGATACAAATCTTCACGCCTGCAATGGTCGGGACGGGCTGTCCTACGAGATAAGACGGATTTGGGACGCTTGAGATGTGGCCCCATCACAGACATGGAAAAGGTCAAGACTTGTACAACTGAAAAAGTGCTACAAGCGCTAGATGTAGGATACCGGAGGGTACCGGTTCACAGCCAGTCAAAGTTTCAGGCGAACAGCCAAAAAGTTGGCAAAGGCAAGTTCCAGGTTGTGTACAAGGAAACTCTGAATATTCTGAGATCTACCACTGTGAAACTACAACTTTACAAAGAGAGTGAGACGTTTTGAAGTGACTGGTCGTTCATTATATCCTGATGAAGGCGACAGTGGTCGTTGAAAGTTTGATCTCTGTGTAATCTTTGTGTTGGAATAAAGTTAAACATTTTACTCTGATTACTACCAACACAGATGAACTTTCATGATAATGAGAGTGAAATGTGTTTTCATGTCATCATAGCCACAATCACCTTTTTCATTTTCATTTTATCTATTTGCACAAATAAAAACATTGATCAACACAAATACAAAACAAAGGAAAAACAGTGCACAGGAGGAGGAAGGAAGCCTGCAAGGCTCGTACAATGTCATCCTCCTTGAAACTTAAATCACGAAACTAACATTATACCAACCCTTTTTTCTTTCAGAGGCGCAAGACAACACACACACGGGGCTAAATACTTATCATAGTTTCAGGTATTTGTGTGAGGGGGCGTTCGTTTATCAACTTGTCGGGAAGCGTCCACGTTATCAGATCCCTTACCAGACCCTGGCTCTGTACAGTTTCACAGGATCAAACGTTACTCTCAAAACAGAATGTGTAGTCTTCTTCAGAAATTGTGAGAAAGTAGCACTACATGATAAGGCGTATTTTACTTCTTAAGAATGAGAGTATCAATATCTGAGTACATTTTGGAGGAAAGGAATGTCTTGTTTATACTCATTTTTCTTTTACCAACTTTGTAATTATGTATGTATTTTGTCATTGTGTTTTACTCTCGTTTTATATCTTTAAAGCGTCATATAAACAATCTATGCTTTTTGTCTAATAGTTTATAAATATATGTGAACATAAAAGGAATGGAATTGAACTCAGTACGACATACAGTGCATCGCCGATCTAAATACGTATAAAATAAATAGCTCTTCTTTTGGTTACGAGGATAGAGCCATCAAGTTTACCCAAACCTATCTATTGATTTTGGATTGAATGTCTGATTGCTTGAAACACTGACGCGTTGAGGCCTTCTGGACCGTCTGGATGGCGTCAAGTAACGGACAGACGTATAAGCAGTGCCGTTGAACAGTGGGTCGATGGGGGTAGCTTCAATATAGAGTAGCGCCACCGATAACTAAGCATTCACTTTGTATGCCGTGGGCGTTGAACAGAGTTTCTTTCTTCTTTGTTTCTACATTTTTCTATGTATCCGTGTTCCCTTCGGAAATCAGCCTTCAAGGATGAAGGGTCTACCCATGTGATTCAAAAATTAATAAATAAATAAATAAATAAAATTAGTTTGAGGAAATTATCCATTGCACTGTATCAAATGTTAGAAAAATAATCCCACTAACACAATCGAACATGAGCTTCCATCTTGTGCTAAGTTGTAGTGTGATGCTTGAAAAGAATATTCACGTACTGACATAATTAACATTTGCCTCGGAAAGAGGCATACTAGTATATCTCTTGCGTATATGTAGTCCGCTAATGTACTCAAACACTGGGCGGCCCGACCTCCTCCTACATGCACGACTAACTCAATACAAGCGCACCAATAACCAGGGATCTTCACCACAACTTTGCACCGTAAATCCGTTTGGACCGCTATTCATAATTCATAGAGCGTGAGGCCGGGGGGAGGGGCGAACGTGCGCCGAGGCTGAACGCTCTGTAAGCTACCTGGCCCTCTTTTAATGACGCTCTGTACGCCAACCCATGCGAAACATTTCCATGGGCTTCTCTGTCGATCAAAGATTACGGTTTCATCCCCTGGAATGGCTATAATAAATATCTGTATCTTTTTTGGTGGATATTTTTGCCTCGTTTGCTAGCTTTCCAGTGACAAGTTACAACCGGTAGTGACGCACAGGTTGGAATTCAGATGGAATCGCTGCATTTTCGTGACAAGGAGGGCAAGAGATCAGCACATGTGGCTCTGGGAAAAGCCCTAGAATGGTGTTTGAAGTGTAATTTCAAATATGTAGGTAAAGCCACCACTAGGACTGTGGAACCTCTAACGTAATGCGTATTCCTTTTTTTGAATTGCTGGTATGTGTATATGCCGATATTGAAATAAGAGAGACCGACTTAATGTTCCACTGCGGACACTCAGTGGTTTGAAGGTTTGACGAATAATTTACCAGACGTTGTCTTTGTGAAAAAGCTCTTCCTCTCCCGAAGGGGCTTGGTCCAACTTAAAATCATCTCGGACAAGACTCGTGCGCAGCTATCAACGAGGTGGAAGGCGACCCACGCGAAAGGCTAGCGGCGAGGACACTGGATGCATGCTAAAACAACCGCAACCGCGACTCCAGCACCAAGGACAGGCACCTCGCCGGGTGGAACGTGGAAGGGCGCCCGCCCGTTCCCACTGTGGTCGCTTCTTCAAAATGTGGCGAACCTCTTTCATTTGATCCTCATGTATCATTCAGAAGCAGCAGGTGCATGACAATGGTCGTTCAAATCCTAATGTCAATCACAGTTGAACCATAAATCACACCCCGCAACCAATAAAAAAAGCGGGCCGGCATCCCCACTGCCCGGCATCGCCGATCGCCGGTGAATTTATCTTTGGCGCGCCGCCCTAGCACCGCGCGTACCCGGCAGATTTCTCCAGACTTTCCGACGGAGCCTGTCGTTCCTCCGTGAACGATGGCCGCTCGTCGGTGTGAGCGCGGGCTCGGGGAATTCCCCTGGCCCTTTCCGGGGTTTCACAGGAAATTTCCCTTTGAGTTGTCTCCGTTAAATGCACACAGGGGACACCATGAAATATTAAAGATGATGGGCCCCTGGATTTGCTCCAAAAATGGAGGGGTGCGCGTTCGCGAGGGGTGTTTCCTCCCAGCACTGGCCGGATAGCTACACAGATAAACATTTACTAAAGTTTATGGACGCATTAACGTAAGTAAGCAAGGGCGCTGAAGTTAACGGGTCTTACATTAGGCCGGCTTACGCAGTGGCGAATACTTGATACATGAGGCAATAAAAGTGTTGATTATGGTAAAAATAAAAATTTAAACTCGAAAAGGAAAAAAAAAATTGTAGCTCGATGTATTATTACATACCAACCTGCCTATAGGACTGTTTAGAAAATGTTTCCAACTTCAATATATCGGTGTTCGGAAGTCTGAATGGTATTCATGCTAGAACCCGACTGTACCTCAAGTACATGGTGATCGTGTTATTTGTTTTGGGACGTGACGTCAATATGTTTCTCTCTACAGCTCTTGTTGTGTCTGATATGCCGCTGTATGTATTTTGACTACCAGTAGGCTCTACCCAAACCCTAATACTGTTGGGATAAACCCTAATAATATGGAAGGACAGGAACTATATATTTCATATTTAAACATGAAAAATGTAAAATATCAACCAGATGGAAGCGATGCTTTGCTCCCATACATAGGATTTGTCAGATCGAAGATGTTTGTCGTATACATAAGACGTAGCACTCTGGTTTCCCGCGCACGTTGATAATGATATGCACGGTTTGTAAACATGACGTCACGGTGACGTCATAACCTCCGGTGTGCTGCTACCCAGGTGTGGCCTCCTTTTGATCCTCACCTCAATCTTCGCCAGCTCAGCGCCATCTTCTGCAACCATAATTAAGGTCTTACCACTCATACGGCCCCGGGCAACAAACGCCTCGCTTGAACGATAAGCTTTAATTTTCATGTACTCGGAAAACGGGGCGGTGAAAATTAAAAGGGAACACTTTTAAATAAGACCAGCTTTCCACAAGAGGCAAACCCTCACAATCGCTCCCTTGTGGTACATCTATACGTCTCAAGTGTTCTTATTCCTACAGAAAGAGTGGTAGAGGTGTAGGTGTACAGTGTTGCCACTGTCTGGTGAAGTAATGGGTGGTATATAGTTTTGACAATCGCAAAATGACAGACTTAATTGGAAGAAAAACATTTTTATGGCCCTGAGTAAGAGTAACAGTAATGAGTGACTCTATTCGCGGTATCAATCATGCAATAAAAGGGGCAAGGAAGGCCTTGGAACAAGTGAAACAATTTTCATAAGTGCTTTCGATCTGTCGCCGTTGAATAATTTGTGGGGCGACCTGGTACCAAAAGTACCAGAACACCTTGCAAGGACCTCCCCGTCCCCCGGGTCGGCGCGTGCGCAGTGGATATTTTACGAGAAATCAATTTTTGAGCAAAGAGGTGTTCCTCATTACGTTTCCTTGGTGTGCCTCGGCTGTCTGGGTATTTTCCTTTTACCGCGACCAAGGATGGCGGAGGGTAGCGCTGCTTTCGACGGCTTTTTAGCCAAGTACACTGGAGATCTAACCTCCGCTCAGTTCATGGAGGTCTGGGACCACTTCGACAAAGACGGTGGGTTCAAAAAACACTTGTGTCTTCTTGTCGTCGCATTCCTGTACATGACGCTACCTCGACCATGTTTGGTACAGTGACTGATTTCATCCCCACTTTAATAAACCTACTAAACAATATGATGTCGTTTCTTTTTTTTCTTTCTTTGTAGGAAATGGCTTTATCGAAGGGAAAGAACTGGACGATTTCTTTCGCGAGCTGGCTCGGCAGAAGGGAGGAAAGGTATTAAATCACTCGTTACCCATTCTCTTCCGCCGATAGCAACATGATACGTCTTTCTCTCTCTCCGTAATGGTGCCACATCTGAGCGGTGTGGGGGGTTTTCTGGGCGGACCACTTTTCCTGCAGTGATCTGTGGCGATGTCTGCTAGTATGTCGCCGTCCCGCTTAATGGACAGGGGTAAAACTCAATCGTGGATTATAAAGGCCCCCCTCAATCGACTGGTAGAATAATAATAATGCGCGGGGAAAATGAGCCAATATCAAATTAGGCATAGCGTTCCCTCTTGTGGGGGAATGGCCCCCATCAGTGACGCTACATCTCTCATTTCGTTTTTTTTTACCTCTCTATGTTTTCGCCCGGTGAAACCTAATTTTACCTCACCATGTACAAGGCTCACTACGGTGTGAAACGTTCAGCCCGGGAATACCGTCCGACGCCAGAAGCTTTTCACCTGTCTGCTCGTATTGTTCCATTAAAGGGTTGGCGTGAAATAGTGATTCGGCCGGGGGGATTGTGCGCCCGAAATTGAATTTTGAAGTGCGCAGGGCGTTTTCCCCCCGCGAGTTGTTTGTGTGTTCAGTACATCAGGCTCCCTGGGTCCGGCTGTGGCCCAGATATCGTCTCAGCGCCGTTCACGCTAGCTGGTGTGATGCATGTAGCTGTGTTTTTGTGACTCTGTAGGGGGATAAACGACAGGAAAAAAAGCGTCGTGCGAAAGGCTGGGAAGCCCCTCAGGGGCCATGCTCAACGAGCTGTCAAAAGACGCGTAGTTGGAGGAACAACCCGCCGCCGTATCAGATTCAAAATAAACTGCTGTTAATCCGAGACTGATGCAGCAAAAAAACTAGAAAAAACAGAAAACGAGTCAGGGATTTACGAAACCATTGACACTAAATTCAGCGTAATAATAGTGAATTACCCCTTCCCCATCATGTATACAACATCTACATGTAAGCCCCGCCCCCATTGGATGCAAAGAACCCCAACAGAAGGGGGTCCTCTACATCGTGCAAGGCATGTCGGGAAGCAGCTGGGGTCCACCTGAAGTGCGCCATTTCCTCCATAGTCTATACCAGACTCCTTGGGTCACTGGAGAGATATCAGACGTTAGCCAGATAGCCTGGATAACTTTCCTGATGAGTTAGCTAACCAAAGAGCCAGTTTATGGGTAGCAAGTCGCAACCGATCGAAGGAGGCTACTAAGTAGAAACTTTATTTTCAACACCTTAGATTGTCTATGTATTGGCCTTCTGGGGATATCTTAAACGCGGTGCCTTCAATATAGGTTTTACCGTTGTAGTTCTAAATGGACTGTCTTGTGCACATCTAATTCAGTGATGGAAGGCAGTCAATCCCAAAATCGCGTATCTCAAAGTTAATGCAGCCTCCAAGTTTTTGTGTTATTTAAAAACGACACATTACATAGATATTGCATCTTCCACAGGCAGCACCCTAATAGCCAAACTGGGCCTTGAACTGTTGGTTAATAAATCAAAGGGGTCAAAAGATACATGGGCAATATGGAACAGTAATGATGAGATGATATAAGAATAGCTTTAGCTACAGCCATGTGATAAGAGGAATCAATATCATCGCATAGAAATACTTCTGTTTTTTTTAATATCTTTGACTTGCCAACTACCCTTTCTCTAAGTACATGTTGATGGAACAAGCACTTTGCTTTGCTGAATTCGAAATTTCACTGACATTTCCGTGCTGGGTTGAATCTGTTGCCATACGCTGTATTCATACTGTAGAGGTCTGGCCTGCCAAGTTTATTTGATAGCAGGATACAACATTTGATGACATACATGTGCAGTTTAACATTTGAAACCCTTGGCACGTGTGTGTTTCCACCAATTTGCAATAATGCACGATATACCGACCCCACAAATGGAGCCCGCACTGCGAGGTTTGGAATTACCCCCAGATTGGTGGTCCAATTTCTAGGTCATATTTTAATCATGGCACCTTCTGTACAGCTAGTCACCGTACCTGGCGGGATCTGCATGCAAAAGATGGCGGAGGGACCTGACGCCAAAGGGTGCTCCCCTCGCGCACAGGTGATGAAAAATTGAAGCAGTGGGCACAAGCTGTCGCTGAGACCCCGTTCATGCCAGACTTTAAAAAACCGATTGGAACCGCTAGATAATTAGCGGAGGAAAACCCGTTCCTACCAGCGTTTTTACATAACTGGTTTTGTAAAAATTCTGTCTGGTGAATATCCATGATTGCAGTTTGAGTAACCGTTCCTCCCGCTCTTCCGAATGTTGTCCTTGGCCTTCTTATATGTCGTCTTCAGGTTCTTTATCTTATTGCGGCACTGATCCTTTATCTTCGAGAAACCAGGCTCCCCCAACATTTTTGTTTCGGTACGTAGAGCCCTAGTGCCGCCCCCCTCCCCACAGCTTTTTCGAATTTGCGACTCCTGCTCTCCAAAAATAAGTATCATCAGTGGAGCTCGAAAGGTTCCTCGGTGACCTCAATTTTAAACCCGGTTTCAGAAACACCTCTCTTACCCAAAAAATCTCTGTAGTGCCCCATTTCACATAAGGTGGAGGGTGGCTATTGTTCAAGCTTAATTACGTAAAAGGGTCACTGCGCCTGTCGTTAACGCTTCACTTCCTGTGTCGTAAAGTTCGCAAGCTGGCCCATCGATTGACGGCCACGCGAATACCCAAATGAACCCTCACAAGGAACCCTTCGCCATACAATCATCCGACGAGGAACTCAATATTGGGGCGTGGGTCGTATAAACGTCCCCCCATCCTTTTATACCCCCGCTTGAAACAACTCTTAATTCCTTATGCCCGACGAAAGCAATCTACTCCGAGTATGTACTTTAATTTTTGAAACGCCAGGGAGAAAATCGATAGAGTATTATTGGAGTTGGCCGATGCTCGCTAGATTTAGCATGCCGGGGTCGGGCTGGCAGAAATATCGGTTGCCGGAGCTGTCAATACGCACAAGACGGATGGGGAATCGGTACCGTTTCTATTAGGGTCTGAAGAACTAAATTGTAGGTGAGCGGTACACGCTATGGCTGATGCAATGTGGGACACGGTTACCGCCCAACGATCTCCCGTCATCAGCTTGTTTAATTTTTATCACTTTGTTTTAGCACGATCGAAAGAGAAAGCTGAAGCAAGTTGCAAAATTCTGACGGATTTCTTGCAATATAGCGTTATGTGGACGAGGTAACCAAATGCGAACTTTTAGCTAATAAAACCTCTTTGTTTTTAGTCACGAACGAAAGAAGAAAAGCTGAAGCAAGCACGCAGCTTAAAACAAGTTGTAAAATTTTGAGGGGTTTAATTTCTTGCTGTATGGCATTATGTGGACGAGACGACCAAATGCGAACTTTAACTAATACCCTAGTAAAATAAAATAAATTCAAAGGCGACAAAGGCCGTTTTCTGTTCCTCGTGACGTAGTAAGACCTGTTAGACTTGAAACCTGGTTTACGCCCCCCTCCCTCTTAACCATACATACGCCTTCTACAACGCCCAAGAGTTTACTGATGTTCCTTTGTGTCTTTTCTCTGGAAGAATCAGCACTCGGACATCTCAGTTCACATACGCCAGTTCGCTGTTTAGTGAACCCATAGCAGCTAATGTCACAACATCTCGTTTGTAATAATAACGATATGTAAACATGTGGTTAGCAGCAATCAATAGCATGGATTGATTCTAATCATCGAAGGGGGGGGTCTTACATAGGCTCAAAGATAAATATCAATGAACGATTGCTCTAGCGATTTGTTTTTTTTTTATTCCAACATGTAATCACCAGACGTGGTGGGGACACACTCAAGCTTTTTCAACTTATATTAATGCCGCCACCAACACAGGGGACAAATACACGACAGGACAATACTCATTTACACTTGAGCTAAGTGAGGAAAGTCGTGTAAAGTGCCTTTCCCAAGGGCAAAAGATCGGTGGCATGTCAGGACTCGAACCCGGGACTCTTAGTTCCGAGTCGCGCACTCTGCCGCTACGACACACGACCCCACGATTTGTTTGTAAGATATTCTGTAGGTTGATGCAAATGAAGCTTTCATGAACGTAAAATTGTCGTGTTTTCTTTAATGACGTTACAAATCTATAGGTTGTTTGAAAGTGATGGTAGTATCTTTAACTGGTTGGTTGGTCATTGTCCTCTGTTTGCATTGGTTGCAAACTAATGGTTCAAAAACAAGGGGTTAACCCTAACCCCAATTCCCCCTGTACATTTGACATGTAGATAACATCTGCTCCTCCTGTCACTAACAATGAAAAAGCTTTTTAGTAAGCTTATGTTGGACCTACAGATATTCTTATGTTGAAAGCGTTTGTCGCTACAAACCTACACCAATGCACAATCTTTCAGATCTTTAAACTTAAGAAAGCTTCACATTGGAGTGTCGCCAGCAGTTATCGAAGAAGAGCTAAATTTTCTTATATCCTCCATTCCTTTCAAGTTTGTCTTTGAAGTTGGGGTTGATGTAGTGGAAGAGATAGAGGGGGGAAACGTTGCGGGGGCGGGCATTATGCCAAAAGGGATCACATATAATCAGGCCAGCGGCTACCAAATGAAATGAGATACATTCAGGACAAGTGAAAGTAGAGAAGGATGGTGTGAAGTCACGCCACTAAGAAATAGAAAGTAATCATCTTCGACAGGTATTCTGTGTCTTGTAGGTCCCACAGGGCTGGTAACCAACGGTCGGTTTTCAAAGTCATGTCATCAAAAGTGAGCACGTCGGTAGAACGTACTGCGCCTGTGCAAAACCCTGATTTTTCACAGTTTTTGTTGGATGTTTGGTCAACGTTGCATCAGAATTTTGCCTGTTATCTTTTTCGACATAACATTTGAAAACTACAGAGTGTTAACCTTATATGCGCGAATACGACCTTATATGAGACGTTCTGCCGAAGTGCTGTGCACAGTACATTACGGGTTCTGCCGACGTGTTTCAATAGTGTACTGTACAGCAAATCGTGATGCTGATTTCTGG